ACCCATAACAGCCAACCTGAACTCTGCTGCGGGCTGCCATTTAATACCGCAAGAAACTGTTTGCATTTCATCATGTAACCGGTTGTGTGAATTCAGGAACCTTCCCCGGATCAGGCTGTGTTTTCAGATGAAAGGAAGAAACTACCGAGTGGCAGAGTGAAATGTATCGTTTGTTTTCCTGTAGGCCTGTCCTCTGAGCATAAACAAATACACCATAGTGAGGGCTGCAGCTCGGCTGCAGGAGAAGTTGGGCAGAGGAGGAGGAATATAACGGGGAGAGGTTGAGGCTGCCCTTTTCGATGAGGCAGATTTCTTTGATACTGGGGCAATAGGAAGAGCTTCCAAATTGAATGGGACAGAGTATTTCCACGGTGCCTGCTGAAGGGTGAAACCCCTCTCCTGATCCCCTTCCCCTTCCCTCTGAAATCCGTGTTGGAATCGCTATAGAACTGAGCCCATTTGGGACTGCTCCCTCAGGCCCTGTTAGTCCGACCTTTATTCAATGCGATTTCAGCCCAGATCATAATGGAGTGATTCTGTTCCTCATGAAGCTCACATTATGGATGTACAGCCATCACAGTCTACGGCCTGCTTAGTTTTTCCTGTAAAAACAGAAATCCTTGCACGGCGGGGAGCTTGTACAAACAAGCCTGAAGCTACCCGAATTTTTAGCTTTGCAGTATAAATGGAGGACTAAATTCCCCACTGCAGAACTTACATGCACCTACATACGGTCAGGTTTTTGACAATGAGTCTCATTCATGCAGAAGAAGACACTTGCCAGGTGAATATGTCCTTGTTCCAGCGCCACGCGCCAATAACGCGAGCGAAGGGCGCCCGGGAGCTGCTGGGGGTCCGAACCGGGAGCTGCGCGGCGCTGCGGTGCCTCGGGACGAGCGGGGCTGGAGCCGGGTTCTAAAGACGAAAGATCTGCGAGCAGCTCCCAGTGCAAAGGAACGGACGCGCGCTCAAGTTTTTCTCACGGAAGGGCTCCACAGAAGCCGCAAAGATCGGTTCTGCGGCAGCCGGCGCCGTGCCGCCCAGCGCCGAGCCCCGGGGCCGGGTGCCCATGCGGCGGGGTGTCCCGGCCCGGCAGCTGCCGCGGGAGGCGGGGGAGCGTCCCCGTCCCGCTGTGACTCGGAGGGTCCCGTCCCGTGAGCTGCGGCCCGGCCGCGACTTCCCGCGGGGTTTTGTGTCGGTTCCCGTAAGTGCCGGCGTGCGGGACAGACTGTAACGGGCCGTGTCTCCTTTCGCTCGTTTGTTATGGGAATAAACAATCCACGATCTTAAAGACTAATAGTATCGGGAAGAACAAGAGGGAACAAAACAAAAGGAAAAAAAAAAAGAAAAAAAAAACAAGAAAAAAAAAACGAGGGAAGAAACTAGCAATCCTTGCTGCACGGTAACTCCCCTTTCCCGGATGCTCTATTGGCCGGGCCGAGGACGGGAAAGGCTCCCGCAGCCGTTCCCGGTCCCGGGGAAACCGGGCTGGAGGCGAGGCGCTCCGCTCCGCTCCGCTCCCCGCGGCCGTGCCCCTCCCGCCGGGCTTCGGCTGGCGGCCGGCGCGGGGCTGCCGGCAGCGAGCGCCTTCGGTGCCGCGCGGTACAGCGGCCGAACAACGGCCAGTGTCTGATGGAGGCGGCTCGGCTGCGCCGGCCGAGAGGGAGCTGCAGCCAGCGGTTGTGCGGGGTACGCTCGTTTGCGCTCCGAGAGAGAAAAAAAAAAAAAAAACAGAAATGAAGAAGGGGGGAAAAAAAAAAAAAAAAAAAAAAGAAAAAAAAATAAAAGAAAAGAAAAGAAAAGGAAAAAGAAATCGTTTAGGAAA